TGACGGAATCATTGACATTGGGATGTAATGCTTTCTTATTGAATGTCCAATGGACTAAAGACTGACCTATCGGCATATCATCCAATTCAACAGCATTATGTGAAGACCCAGAACTACAACAGTTCCTCGTAGATTTAAAGAATAAAGTAAAAGCAAACAAAAAGCAATCAGGAAAGCGAAAAAGAAGTAACTCTAGATCGTAAGTACCCAGTGTCTACAATCATAAACTTTACTTCTTTACTCTTAGATAAACCTGTTTAATACGGRCAGCCTGGTAATACGACCATTATCTGGTCGCCTAAACCAACTTGGTCGCAATATCTTTTGTTATCTATTCTACTCCAATATATAAATGTTCTATTCCACGTATCTTTCTATTCAGGCTGTCAGTCAAGAGAACAAGCTTGAAGGACAAGATCAGCATATCTCACAACGAAGCCAAGGCTGAAGCCATTCTGCGTGTGCATCCTCAACTGGCATTTCTTCTTCCTGTAAGCAGCTCACTTTCTGATTGGTTACTCGTGATTTGTCACGCTTTGTGATTGGCTACTATTGATTGCTTACGCTTTGTGATTGGCTACTATATTAATTGTTTATGCTTCGTGATTGGTTACCCGGCATTGTGTGTACAAATTAAGGAGGACATGCTGAATCCTTACTTTTTGGTCTTCGTTCACGTCTTTCAAAAATCTTAGCTTTAAAGATTGTTCTTGCATGACTGTTATGACCTCTATAGCCAACGAGGGGGGGGGGGGGGGGGGGGGGGGGGGACCGGAAGTTTAATAGACTCTTCTGACTTGGACGTAATATTTTCCCAATTCAAACCACATACAAAGTATAATTTCTTAAATGTGAAATGTGATCGTGCGGGTGAGTGTAGTCTTGAGAAAGATTGTTGTTGGTGGTGACTGACAGTTTGTTGTAAAGTTTAATGGTCCAGGTGAGTGTAGTCTTGAGAAAGACTGTTGTTGTTGGTGACTGACGTTTCAACAACCTGAGCAGAAGTCATCTTCAGAGTCCAGTGAGAAAACGAAGAGAATATAATCTGTAGATTTTTTTGTAACATGCTAAAGTAGCAATCGTATATATTGCAGAAAGGAACTGAGGCCAAACAGCAAGAACAAAGTAACAAATCAATAGACATCACACCAGCAGCGACCGCAGGCCAAGCAACACAGAACTCCACCACCAACGCCACAAACCTTCCCACCAGTAGACAAGATACCAGACCAGAACAGACTGACAAAACTTCGAGTCTTACGAGACCAAAAGGCAAGGAAAATATCGACCCTGTTACTAGAGACAGCGGTATGGTTGCTAAGGACAAGAAATACGAAGATAGTGGGGTCAAAGAACGAAAAGGAAGTCTCAAAATTTCTGTCAAAACTTATACCACGACTATTGATAACAAACCAAAAGAAAGCGAACGAGACGAGAAACCACGTTCTCCCAGGGCAACCAGGTTACCAAGGGAACCAAAACCTGATGTTTCCATGGCAACCTCTGGAAGCAAGGAAGCTAGGATGTCAAGTTTACCGAGAGGCGGTTCGGATTCCAAGCAGTCTTCACCTCCTGCTTGTTCTCTTGTTTCGATCTCTACTCATTCAGGTTCACCGGAGAGACAGCCTGATCGTGCACAACCAAGAATTCCAACGGGGACGGCGGATAACAAAGATTCTTCCAGTCCACAGCGCGATTCTTCTGTGCCCAGGAAGCCATTAACAGAACGAGCATCCAAAACAGATAGCCCTAGTAATATAGTTGCGAAGGAGAGTTCAATGAGTCGCTGTAAAACAAAAGAGGAGCCGAAATCCAGTAGCAATAGTACAATGGATGTGAACTCCAATTCGAAGCCAGACAGAGATGCGAAACTCAGTTACTCGAGTAAAAAAATCAGCATTTCAAGTGATCATCTTGGACCCAGATCGGAGACTGTGTCGTCTGGTACCGGTAGTTTACCCAAGTCGACCAAAACACGTCCCGCACCCCCTCCCCCCATACCCCGGTCATCGGGGAGTCTCAGCCGAAGTCACGAGCCGGAAGATACTTCAGGGTATCCTGATTCATTCAGTAAAAAGTCACGGAACTCGAGGGAAAATATCTTGGATGTTGTTGCCACTGGACGCTTAGGTATGTGTGAGTTATGTAGGTTGTTTTTACAATGATTTTGATAAATTCTTGGCCGGGGTTTCACTTCTCGTCATATTCCTGTCTTGTGCGAAATGTTCATCAGCTGAATCACAAGTGTTGAATAGGATTCTTTCCAGCTGACAGCACGTGGTCAGCGTTTAACCATCATTTCGAGCAGATAATCAGATTCGAAGACTTTTATCAGCTGCTTGAAACCCAGAAATTATTATTTTAGTTTTCTGAGCCAACGATGTTTTTGGTCTTCGCCAAGTAGTGAGGGACCATGGGCGTACTTAGCGTTTAATGTTTTCTTATTGGCTGATAGGATAATTAAGGAGAACTAATTATAGAGTCCTTAGTTACCTCAATAGACCTTTTTTCTGATACGGCGGCCATCTTGAGTTATGAGATGCCGAGGGGACAAACGTAGAAATTTCAAAAGCAGTCTTTATGTTTCAAATGTCGTTCTATAAGTTCTATAAAAATATACCATGACAGCTGTGCAGTCTGTAATTTTTCCAAAGTTGCCCTCTCGGCATCCCATAATGTCTTGATTAAAACAATAGAATTCAAGATGGCCGCCGTATCTACAAAAATGTCTATTGAGTGTTTTTTATTCTGTTTTTACCATCATCTTGTCATCACCATCGGCACTACTATTACCATCGCAATCATCTTCCTTCATTAACATGATCAACATCAACCTAAAACCATCAATATGTAACAACTCAGGCTTAAAAGGTATATACTCAATTGAAGAGTCGTTGTCGGGTTCAGAAACAAAAAACATAGAAGCTGAGACCGAAATGGCACATGGGAAGTACGTCAAATAGATGCATGCTGTGACCGGCGACCCGTGGCATCATCCACTGTTTTTAATACGCGTTTGGCATTCTAAACCGACTGCATAGATGGTGCAAATGAATAAATTATAACATAATTATGTCATTTTCCATGTGCCATTTCAGTCTCAGCTTTTATGTTCTGTTTCTGAACCCGACAGCGATTCTTCAATTGAGTGTATCTGACACTTGAGATTCATCTCTCTACTCAAGTTACTTGTAACGCACATGTCACGCATTTCACACACTATCATCACCATCACCGTTATCTTGTACCATCATATCACCATCTGTCAACATCATTCTTGTGTACTTCAATACTGAATTGCTTGTATTTTTTCTTCAAGGACCACAAGACACGAAACCAGTTTCTCCTGGGGATGTAAAAATAGAAGCTGCCGCAGGAACAGCTAAATACACCCCAACCAAGGAACCGTACAGTAAACACCATGACAGACCAACAAACCACAATATAAACCAACCTCCCAATAAATCCACGAACCAAACTACCAGACCCAACAACCAATCAACTAATAGACCTACCAACCAACCAACCCCCACAAACCAACCAACCAATCAACCTGCTAGCCAACTCCCAAACAAGCATGGCAGCCAGCCCACCAGTAACAAAAAAGAACCGTACACGGAACGATACACCAGGCGGGATGAAAACGACGTGATTGSAAATGACAAGGTTATCTACCACGATCACGTGGATGTGGAGAGAGAAAAGAAAACTTGCTGTGTGATGATGTAAGCTACGAAAGACAGAGTCAAGAGAGGTGACACCATTTCGCAAGGTTTCGTAAAGTTAACTTCTTGAATAGCACGAAGGTTTATTATTTATCGCCTAGGGGAGGGGGGAGGGGGTGAGGAGGATTTAGGGGGGGGGTCACGGTTTTTTAGACAACTGGAGGGGGAGTAAGGTATACATTGACAGGTATCAAAGGGGCATCGTTCAGTAGCAACCTGTTGTAAGGGGGGATCATATAAAAATAGTGCTTTTCGGTGGAGATAAGCTAATGTTTATCAAGTGGCAAGTAAAGTCCAGCAACCCCTTCTCCAGTCGACAAATAATGAATATCAATAAACCCAATCCAACAAGGCATTATATTTTCCCAATTCAGATCACCTGTTTGAGTTGCATGGATATTTTAATGTGTCTTCTGATCGTACACATTACAGTCACACCAGCTCATGCGTTCCTGTCGAGGTTCAAAGATTTCTTTTATCATTCGAAGTTTGATTTCCATCTTGCTTTGAAGCTTGCATTAATGAAACGATGTGAATTTCAATTCCGGCCTTTACCTCAAAACATCAAAATGTTCTTTTGTGAAAATTTTTTTTGAACAAAACAACACAACGCACTAATAACTTGAAAATGGTAGCTACAAGTTTAAAAACAATTTGGCTTTGCACGAATTTGTGAAGAACTAAATAAATTCTTAATCCGATCCCAGATTTTGAATTGACAACGTTCGTTTCATTAATGCAAGTTTCAAGCAAGATGAAAATCAAACTTCGAATAACAAACTAAATCTTTGAACCTCGATAGGAACGCACGAGTTTGTTTGACTGTAAACAAAGAAATGATACTCTAAGGAAATGACACGCTTTCTGAAATAATAATAAAAAAAACCCCAGTGGATTACAGATACTTTCATCATTACCCATTATTATATTAATATTTTATAATTTCAAACTTCAAAAGTGTGAATACTTATCGGAGAGAATGAGGGCCGTAAGCCTAAATAACTCACCGGGTTAATACGTCACCCTCTTTAAATACAGTTGATTGATTGATTGGTTGACACTTGGTCTGAAATGGGAAGACATTACGCCCAGAGTGAAAGATTCCATTGGCAACAAAGTTTTTACAATAAGCGGAAAGCATTGCATTTTGGTGTTTCTCTCGGGAAAACAAAGATACTTAGTTTCGCGAGTATTTCCCAAAATGTACCTTCTTAAATTGTGCTATTGCTTCTCGAGGCCCAGTTCTCCTCTAAACCAAAATTCATTTGGTTCTTTTCAACCGAACTTTACAGAAAATAGTTTTTCTTTTCTAGCTTCTGAAAATTAATAGGAAAGCTGATGTATCAGCCAATGTATAGTTAGATAGAAAAGTACAAATTAAGTGGGCTGTTAGGAATGGTACGTTTTTTATCAAGGGGAGGGTTGGGACTCCAGAGGGGAAGACCATCAGTAGAAATTTCAAAGTTTTGAAGGGTCAAACATTTTTATTTTGACAAGGCATCGGCTCTTGCAGGAGGGCTACACTTATTCTTAAAAAGCTTACTGCGAATCCCCCAGCCAACAGTACCCCCCCCCCCCTTCCAAATAAAAGCCGTACCTTTCCTTAGATAAATAGTTAGGCCGGTGACGTTAAGTGCCGGTAAACAGGGGGTGTTTTGATATATAACCCCCTAAAATAGATATTATTAGARAATAGTTCCATSGGTTTCATTCCACTTCATGACGTTAACAGTTAGATCTTGTCTGGCCAATAATATTAAAGGATGGGGAATGTTGCATTTCGAAAGTCCTCAGTTTCCTCTTCCAGATTCCGAATATTCTCTTATGCTTAACAAAACCTGAGAAACCTCTGTAAAGCGACCACTCTTGGGATATTATCTGGTGGTTGATAACTAGAGGTTGGCTGTTAAATAGGTGACCGCGTAATAGAGGTTCAATTGGTGTTTCTTGGTTCGGAATCCCCCGAAAAGGAAATATCCCGTCTGGTTAAGCTTGTAGAAATATTTTGAAGTAAGCGTAAGTGGTTTTTGTAAATGGAATCTTTATAAATAAAATGTCAAGGAATCGCTTGCTTTAGACTTTGTTTACATTATTGTGTGATGAATTATGTTTTATTATTGGTACGCCAGTGGCATTCCCTAGATTATAGTTTCTTTGTGTAACGGTTGCACTTTGTTTAACGGCCAAATCAAACAAACTCAACTCTCATATTAAGTTCAGGCCCCTTCCACACTATGCTAGCCTCCTTCGCAGCCGTTCTTATGCTCGTCACGCAACGTTTCCCTCCCCACAAACGTCTGCTTACTTGAGCCGAACATTCCTTTCTCATTGTTATCGATGCGACATCATGGGCCAATCAAAAATTGGCCTATTGTCTTATCAAGAGCCAATCAAATCCTGCGTTAGAAGTTCGCGACAACTTGAATGACAAAATGAATGCCGCGTGCTGTCAAAATTTGCTTTGGAATTATTTTGAAAGGCGACAACTATCGACAAAGAAGATAAATCGTAGATGAGTGGCGATATTATTACGACGATGTTTTTCGTTTCTCTGATGTTCAGAACGTCAAAACACCGTGGCAGGGCCTGATAGATAAGCGATTTACCATAACCAGTTGGTAGATTGGATGTATTTTACAAGAGAAAATGCGTGACATAACCGGGGTCAAGCTAGAAAATCGTCTCTCCTTGAAATAAAACAGAACC